ATACAAAAGCAAAGCTGTATCTTGAACTTATACTGGCCAGGAAGTGCATAAAGACAAAAGCTAATGTTTGACACCTGGAATGCTTGGCTTAATCTTCTTGGCCTCAAAATGGTAAATACTGTAAATACATTTTTCAGTTAAAAATCTCAGCTTTCATCCACAGCTACATGTTAAATAGCTGCTTAAGTTTAACTTTAGTCATACTTATCCAGGGAAATGATTCCCTGATCCAAAATTCCTTCATAACACAGACTGTCTTTAATTTAGCATTATCATCAATAACACTGATTTCAAAACCCATTATAGCATCCCGAAGCCGGGCTAATAAGCATGCACTATTTGCTGTATTACTTAGTCCCTTCTCAGTTATTAGGAAAAAGCATCATCTGCAAATACCAGGATATATGCATTTGTTTATCTATTTATAATTTTTTATAAAAATAAACTATAATTTCCAATTTATTTTATGATAAATGAAGGTTTGATGGCTAGTCCATCTTTTCACTACCCCACTATAAAACCTTTGGTTCGAAAACACAATGGTTATTAAACTAAATCTGCAAGTATCTTTAAAGTTAGAGCTTCAGAGAAGAGCTGCTTACAGCATTTTGCTCTCTTTTGTCTTCCCATCATGACTGTTCAGTTACGATTTACTATATCTATAATACAATAAAGCACATTCACATCATCATTTCAATCATTATTTTATCACGTTTGTACTTTACTTTTACTGGAAATACTTTTCCATATTCTGCTTGATAAACCTTTCATACCATTTCAACTTACTTGGACTTAACAAGTGTTCAAAAATGGTCATGAATTCTATTTTTTTTTCCTTTTATATTCCAGCTTCTTCTTTATCTGGTGTTTTCTTTCAACACTATTGTTTTCCCTGCCTTCTTCCCCTACATGCATAAACCATCCTTCTACATTTTATTTCTACATTCTGATTCTATCCAACAACTCACTGCGTGGAAAAACTCACATTTTTCCTACCATCTATCTATCCTCAATCCAACAATTCATTGTTAAATTCTATCAGGAAAAACCCATATTTTCCTATATTCTTCCCCTACATTCAGATCCTTTCATTTTGGAAATCACAAACACATTGTTTATCAGTAGAATTCTGCTCCGTCAGAGCCTCACACACACGACAAAAAAAAAACACCGGCAGCAACCCCCTTTGTTGCTTTTCACGGACCCTCTTTCCTAATCGCACTTATTTTTCATTTGACCGAAAACTGGTTTGTAAAAATTACCTAGTTTACGGTTAGATGACCCCATATTGGCTGAATCTCCCCTCTTGGATTTTTTCCTCGACGCGCGTCTAATAATCTGTTGAACGTCTTCAGCAGACCCGATTCTGTCACCTCGTATCGGCAAGGTTAGCAAATTTGCTCTGTAAATACGATTTACTATTTTTCCTGTGCACCAAATCAATCAAGCGTGATTCTTCCGTTCACTTTTACAAGAATTAATTCAAGCGCGGTTCTCCGCCCGCTTTTACTAGAATGATTAGTTTACAACAGGATTTTGCCTAAACCTGTACTTCAGTTGTGAATCTCCTGTTCACTGGGTGTCTCTACCTGTACACCAAGGTGTCTCCCTGTACACCTACGAGCAATTATGGTACGTCGCATCCACTTCCGTCCATCTACATGAGCTTAGTTTTTTTTTTAGAGATCGGTCTGATACTGTCAGATCAATCTCTCCCTCAAAAAACTAACTCTGCTCGTACCAAAGAACCAAACTCAGCCAATACGGTTCATGTTCACTCACAACCATCAACACTTAACATCAATAAAACAATTTGCCGTTTCTTACCCAGAGATGCCCTTTCCTTTTCTGTAATTGCCACGGATTCTTTTAATCCTAGTGAGATTTCATTTCCCCTGGTCTGGATGCGGTTGTTGGCTCTCTCTCTCTTAACCTGTGTTTGAGTTCTATCTCAAACCATCGAGGTATGAGACCGGCCGCCTTTTGCTGCCGGGGTTGTGCACTTTCCGTCCAATCCGTTCCACGACCAGGAGAAAGAAGATTCTGCACAGGATCCCACTTCTGACACCAACTGTAATGGCAAGTTTTAGAGGTTAATGAAAACAGCATCAAAGGTATAAGAAACTTTCCGAACAGGCAAACTGTAATAAAGAGAAAAGGTTTATTCTTGTGAGGAGGCCTTTTTTCAGAGCCGCAGCTACCCAGCTCGGAAAACCAGAAGACCTGTTTGATTTACCACAAACATGACATTTTATACAGTAAAACTCCTCCTTCCTAGTTTCTGTAACTTTCCACATCTGTTGTCTCAAAAGGTGACCATGCCCCTCCTTGCCACCCCAGGGCTGTATAATTAACATAAGAAACAGGGCCATTTGTTCTACCACTCTGTGTGTGAGTGTGTGTGTGTGTGTGTGTGTGTGTGTGTGTGTGTGTGTGTGTGTGTGTGTGTGTGTGTGTGTGTGTGTGTGTGTGTGTGTGTGTGTGTGTGTGTGTGAGAGAGAGAAAAACATATGATAGCTATTATTCATTTAGTTAATACTAAATTTTTCCACAACAATGTCAAATCACCTTCATTTATATAGTGATATTAACAATATAGATTGTTTCAAAGCAGCTTTAATAGGAAATTAAAGTAGAGATTGTTTTGGCTTTACAGCAGCTCAAGAATAAAGTTGTTGTCCAGCAAAATTTAGTTTTGATTGTTTCACTTATTTGCAAAGATCATTAGTAATAAACCTAGGGGCCGCTTATGACACATTTCCAACAGAATACCCTTAATGGGCTCCGGCTGGCTCATCCACACAACAGTCAACGGCGGTGTGAGAACGCAATGGTGCAAGCCCCAGTGGGGGGAAAACCACTTTGTTTGAGTTGAGAATGTAAAAGATTTTTTTTTTTTTTCAGATGTTTATCAGCAAGATAGGGATAAGGATTCCCAATTAATCTAATTTAATAAAGAAATACCTCACCCCAGATTGAGACGGCGCCGCTGCATACCTCTCCCGGCAGGTGGGTGTTAGTCGATGTCATCAGCATGAGATATTGGTTTATGAGATCGGCAATTTGATCCAGTCATTAGAAGCAATTATTGACCCTATAGCGATCAGCAGCCGATGCTCCAAACAGACATGTAGGCCTACTGACTAGAATGACTTGTAACAAAGTGCGTAGGCTACTTAAAAGTTATTAGTGTGACGTTTACCCACCCCTAAACATGACGTGGAACAAAACAAACTGTTCTTGGTTGTAGCCCACTTTGCATGTCAGTCAGAGGGCCTCTTCCTACATAAGTCGGCAAAGGTCTTACTATAGAGGTCATTTATTTGGGAAAGGTCAATTTGTTATCATTTATTCGTCTCTTTTATCAGACATAGGATCATTGCACTAGACAAGAACACCTGATTAAAACTAAAGATACAGCACTGAAAGAAATTATTCCTGCTTATAGAGAATGTTGATTCAAAGGGTTTCATTTGTGACAGTCTGGGTTACCAAATAACCCTCCAGGTCCTAAATGAACAAATTTGATATCAAAGCCATAATTATAAACAACAGTTCATATACCTAAAATTCCTTGCCACTGTTATTAAACCACACATACTATCTCAAAAATGAACATGAAATTTGATTCAAAAATATATAAAGTGCTGTGATTTACAGATTACATTTCTTCAAACATCATTTTGTGTCATTCTGCTTCAAGTTACACATTCATGTTACTCATACACATCGGCACACCCAGATATACACTCATATACCTTGTATGCCATTTATCAAAGTAATCAGTGAAGTTGTAGCCCTGTGACAGAATTTAAATATTGTGATTTGTTCTGTCAATATAGTGAGGGCAAACACATTCCTCAAATGAAGTAATGTACTGTAACTACTTTAGATTAAACAAACTCTGAACTACGAACTACAGAAGCAGATTGTGAGAAAGGGAAACAAATCCTATTGAAGTCTGATGTATAAATTTGTTTCTTTAACAATTTGCTGTAAAATGAATTGAAAAATGCAAAACACATGCAAATGCAACACTATGATCATTTTCTTAAATTGTTGGGGTATGCTATATGTGTGTGTGTATGTGTGTGTGAGTGTCAGTACAACTGGAAAGTACCTTCTACTGGCTGCATGGGAACTTTGCTAAACTAAATGAGCAAAAGGATGACATTCTGGTCTGCTACTTTACAAAATGTTAAATATCTGGCAGAAACAAAGACCTGCAGTCACAAACATTCATACTGCATACTTGTCTTAGATCTCATCAAAAAAAAAAGAAAAAAAAAAAGGCAGGGACATTTAGAGGATGGTTTGTCAATTGTTACTGAATAAACAGAGAAATAATGTGTTTCATATTTGACAATAATAATACACTTTATTTTCTACAGCACTTTTAAAAATTACATCTCCAAGCTCTTCACAAAAATAAGAAAAATACAAGAAAAATACAATAATATAAAAGAAATGCATTCATAAAAGTGAAGTACATTCAGATATACAATACAAATGAAAAAATATGTTATCAAAACAATACAGTAAAGATGGTACAGAAAAAAAGTTATAGATATAATAAAATAAAAGCTACTAGTCCTGGTCAGGATTCTGGCAGCAGAATTTTGAACCAAATTTAATTTGTTTATAGTGGCTTTTAAAACCCCAGAAGTATTAAATGCGAGAAAAAAAATGTTAAAGTACTTTTCAGCCATGGGAAAAGCTTAAATGTTTTTAGTTTTAATTAAGTTTTAGTTTAGTTTTAGAAGTTTGAAGGTTTTCAATTTAAAGTAATAATAATAATAATAACATTTGGGTGTTGTAAAAAATAAACTATTGTCAGTGAATATAAGGCTATAGTAATTCTTTCCCTTTTGCTATAAAATCTCAAAATGAATTAATCAGAAAATATAGAAGATTTCTATTCTCCTTGTTAGGCTATATAACACTTAAAATAATTACTTATCCGTTGCTGTAGACTAATGCTATTCATGTTTTATTTCCAGAAATGCAGCTGGTGGCTCACTGGTGAGTTGGACTTGAAACCCTGACTGCAGTTTACTTCTGCGTTTTTCAAGTGGCTCTTTCAGACTGCACGATTTTCAAAGTAGTCAGGTCGCTGCTCTTTTCACACTGCATGACTATCTTGGCCAGCATTCAGTCGCTGCTGTGTTCACACTGGACGATGGATCGGCGACAGAAGGTTTCACACTGCATGACTTTAGAAAAATCGCCGACGGACTCTCTGTCTAGCACGCTGCACGCAAACTACATTTCACAACAAACACGCGTGAGATATGAAAAGGAAACAACGCGCGACACCACACGTGCAAGACCGGAGTTCTCACGTGAGACTTTTTTTTTCGACCCGGTTGTGGTACAGCTGGTGAAACAGACACGAGTGCTCCTGCCAAATTTCTACTAATTTTTCTTCCATTTATTGTGTCCAAATAGACCGAGAAGAAGCTTTTTTTGTTGAAACAATGCCATATCATGTTGATATGTGATCTATAACTCCTCCCCGAACTCCCTGCTGCTCTGTATCTTGCTCTCTCACTGGCTGCCGGTGATCGCCGATGTAGTTTTCAGTCAAAACACTTTTCACACAGCAGGATTTTGAATCGCCGACAGGTCCAGATATTTAGCATGCCAAATATCTCACGGGCGTCGGCGACTCGTCGGTGATTCTCTCAGTTCGCGTCTTTGTTCATTCACACTGCGTGATTGTCACTCGCGTGAACGAGCGCCGATTTGCCTGTGATTTCGGGCATTTGTCGGCGATTTCTCAAAACCTGTCGGCGAGCCAAAATCGTGGCTAAAATCATGCAGTCTGAACTCGGCATAAGGTTATTCAACTCTGATTTCTGAACTGTGAATTACTATGCTGTTTGGATACAGAAAACCGAGGACTACATTTCTGAAAATGGACACCAGACGAGTGTAGCTCAGTTTCACATTACAACAAATGTCTGCGTGTTCTTAATAGGTCAGTGGATGTGTTCAGTTAAAAAAAAAGAAAGTTTAAGCTCAATTGAAAAATATAAACTAAATACATGACATTTGTATTTGAAATGATATCATTATTAGTTGGCTGAAACATTTGTAGGATGCACTTTGAAAAAAAAAAAAAAAAAAAAAACAGATGCGTAGCAGTACCTTGCACCAAGTTGACACTGTAAGTTCATGCTTTTTAAAATTTCAAGTTCTCCTCTACTAAATTGACTTTACTTTACCATAATTTGATGTAATGTAAATTTTCCTACATTTGATAGTTAAACTGACCTTTAAAATAGTTTGTCTGACAAAATTGAAGTTGGATTTTTTTACAGTGGCTGCATGTTGGGATGTTACACGCGGGACTACTCGTCCCTTGTTTTATGTTATGTTTTATGATTATGCCAAGTAAATATTTCGGGGAGAAATCAAATATAATTCTCTAATATTCTGGTTAAAATTGCACGTATTAAATATCTTGGTAACACTTTACAATAAGGTTAATTGGTTAACTTTAGTTAATGTATTTACTAACATGCACTATGAGCAATACATTTGTTACTGCATTTGTTCATCTTTGTTAATGTTAGTTAATGAAAATACAGCTGTTCATTGTTTGTTCATGTTAGTTCACGGTGCATTAACTAATGTTAACAAGATTTTAATCAAGTATTAGTAAATATTGAAAATAACATTAACAAAGATTAACAAATGCTGTATATGTGCTATTCATTATTAGTTCATATTAACTAATGGATTTAACTAATGTTAACTAACGAACCTTATTGTAAAGTGTTACCAATATCTTTGTACTTTATGTTGTAAGACATTAATTTGTATGCATATACATATACAAAGCAAACCTGTGTTTTGTTATTTATCACTGTGGACATTTGTGTGTGGCTATTTGACACTTCCAAGAATCCACAAAATCTTTCATTGTGAGATGGTGTAAAAATCATTGTTGACTCAAGAAAAGTGACAAAGGAATCTCACTCAGAAGGCACTTTTAAGTTTAATCAAGATTTTGAGCATGTTTCCTCTAGTGAATTCATTGTTTTGAGGAGAAAATACAAAGTGATATATGGTGATCTGTACCCCTCCACCACAGAGTTATTTTTAATTGGTCCTGCATCATTTCCTGTTATGTGAAAGCTGAGGTGATATATGAGGTGATCTTATACTGGCATGTGATTGGCTGGATGGATCAGCAGGTTTGATTCGGGGGTTAACTTGGTACAGCCATAACTTCTAAGATGTTATCACATGCTTTGGGAATTCCCAGCACTTGTCAGTAATGTTTGTTAGTTTTGTGAGAAAATCTGAGGTGTGTGCTGAGAATATCTGTTTTAGAATTAAAGGTATGGGATATTCCTTGTATATAAATTCCTATACAGTATATACATATATATATATATGTGTGTGTGTGTGTGTGTGAATGTATACGATGAGAAGCCATACCTCTAGTGGAATAAGCCCTGATGCCCAAGAGGAATTGCAGACCTTTTGAAGCGTAAGCGGCTGCTATAGCATCCACAATCCATCTGGACAAGCTTTGTTTTGAGGCGGCGAAACAAAGCAAAAGAATCACCTGTTTTGAGATTTATGCCTGTGGACATAAAAAGTGTTTAGTTGACACTTCTCGGAAGCTGGTAAATGTTTCATCATAAAATGCTGGAGTAAAATGATGGATGACTCAGCAAAAAAATGGTGAGAGGAATATTGCAGATGCATCACACCAAACAGAGGAAATGACAAAGGAAGTATAATGAGCGAATAATAAGTGGGGTGATTATTTCTCTGACATGAATGGCTGAAGTAACTGTCAGACCATCCTGCATCATTGCCTAAACCTCAGACCCTGTAAGGTGATCTTACTGGCACATGACTGACTGCATTGAACAGTTGGACATGGAAACCCACAGCTTTAAACTCTGAGTTGACCACATGTACTCTGGAAAACCCCAGCATTAAAATCTATTGTGCAGTGATGTTTGTCCCTATTTCTGTTGTTGAAATCATGAAAGAATACCCGTTTCAGTGCCAAATGTCTGTGATATTCCTTGCAGAAATGATACATGCATGTGGGGTAAATGGAATTTGTCACGAAAATGGCAAGTATCTTTTACAATAGGTTGGGTTGATCTATTGTTTATCTTGTGTTGCTGTTGGTTACATAAACAAATGTTTCCAGGCAAGGTGACCAACAACAGTTTCCCGGAAAAAATATGTGTGCAGATTCCTAGAGATTGCGAAACAGCTAGCAAGTTAGCGGGAACTAGTGGTTTTAGCCAGCTCTGGTTATTTAAGTGTATATATCAGGTCGTAAGCTGTCTCTGGCTATGCTGAATATACCGCCCTGTTTAATTTATTCACATCAATGCATATCATGAACTTAAAATAAACAATACTATAATTATTGTAAATACGAGATTTACGAGGACGTGAATACTTTTTACAAGTTAAAATCTCATAATTATGACATTGCGTGTGAACGCATGCCTACTATCCTATTAGCCCATTCATAAAAGTATCCTCACCCATGATTCCGCAGGAAGCTTTCTCAATCCTTATTCCTCACCTCCTCGTGGTGAAAAGAATTGAAAAGCACTTCAAGATGGAGGAGTTCAGTTGGTTTCTGAGTCACAGATTAAAGGATGGAGGGGGAAACGAGGGGGGAAACACATTTTTTTTAACGGTTGCAAAGTACATTCGAAGTCAATTGTAGTACCTACTCAGACAGTTTGTGGTTTTGGACGCAGCCACACGTTTGCAGGGGAGCGTGGGGAAAAAAATAGAAGCGATTAAGCTTATTAAATAGGTACCATCAGAATGATTTTTAAACATTTTATTTTTAATTTTAATGAAATAAACCTAATATTATTAAATGTCATAGAAGTTGTATTTCTCAAAACCTAATGCATTAACATTAACAACAACAACAAAAAACCTTATTGGATGCCAATTTTTAGAGATGTAAATAAATATTAATTTTTTCAAAATCGAATTCACTGTTCAGATGTGATTTACTTATTGACACTGGGGGTGTTTTGTACTGAATGAGCTGGAGACCTCAAAGACCACTTCAATGTCAGACAAACCCACCACAGTGTGTATATTTCTGAGCTCAGCAGTCTGTCAGATGACATAATGAGTTACAGACTCGGTCAGTGGGCCATCAGCCAATATTCTTCTCAGCTGCACTCTCTCATCTTCTCTGAGGTGTAGAAAAATAAATCAGGCACACACTGAAATGTTCTCACAGCATTTTATTAACAGAAATACTTCATAAGGATTTTGCACCTAGACAGAAGTATTTAAAAAGAAATACAACACTATAAGGAGTATTGTTGTGATTCCATGCAATGGCTAAGCAATTATTACTAAATATTATTCATTATAAGGTTTTAAACAGACATTTATAGAGCAAATAGAGCATTTTGTATAGAGCATAGAGCATATACAGTAGCACCCCATATGTAGAATAATACATGAAGATAATGTTAGTTATTGTATATTTTTCAAACACACATTCAAATTTACAACCGATCTGAAGCAGTGTTAATGCAAAGTGAATTTAAAGGGGTGGTTTACTGCTTTTTTTCTTTGCATGATTGTGTTTATGGGGTGCAATATAACATGTATTTGTGTTTTTTCTTTTTTAAAAGTCTTATTTTTCATAAATTTCACCTTTATTGTAAGCCGCTTTCTCCTCTGTCATTTGAATGACCGGTTTACATCCCGATTCTATGAAACCACTTCCTCAGAAACAGGCAGTGGGCTCAGATTGGTTAGTTTGGGCCGGTGTGTTGTGATTGGCTAAACTGTGTAGTGCACGTTGTCCACAGGCGAAAGTTGCATATGTGTTCCTGTCAAATGCACATAATGGTGTCGAAACTGTTATTTACGTATAAAACCCGTTGTAATCCCATTTGAGTCGTTTTTGTAGGCATTAAACTTTGTGATTTTTAAAAGACAATATCTCTGCTTACACTGAACTTTCAGTGCTGCAACTTTACAGATAATGTTCATACACCAACAGCAAAAATACACCCTATTTAAAATGAAAAAAGTGAAATCGCAATCAACCACCCCTTTAATTAGTAATGCATTAGATGTGATGTGTACTCACTGGCACAGCATTTCATTTCATTTTGCTTCCACAGCATCAATTAACAGAAATACTTGCCCTGGTCATACAGTTGCTTATATGCACACTATAGTGCTATGTAATCCACCAAGTTTTTTTCCACAAACCCATAGGACCAGTGATAGATATTCATAATACGAATTAGCCTATATAGGTACATGTCTTAAGTTATCCTATATATTAAATATATTAAGCTACAATATAATTAAGTTCTGCATTAATACGTTCATTATTTATATATATAATATATGTATATATATTCAGTTATATCTATCATGCCGTTTGCATAACGGACACAACATTTTTTTAATGCTAAAATATTTTCAATATACTATTTTTATCAAATGTGCACCTTTTAAGTGGACACAAGGAGTATTTATATATAAATATATGTTTCAATGATATATAACTAAATAATATAATTACTTCATGTAGCTTCATGTAGGTTAGTCTCAATCACAATTTAACTGACAAGAAACACAAAATGTAGCCAGCATAAATAAAATAATGGCCTTGCTATATACAGTAAAAGATAAGAGTATAGTTATGAATGATTGAAGATGAAATGCCCAGGTGCAATGCTGAAACTTCGTCTGTGCTTAAATAAAAGGAAAAAAGGGAAAGCCTTTTAGAAACTGTAGTTACTGCTGTTTGTACTATAATTTACTGCTTAGTGCTTAATATAATGTAGTTTATTTTAATTGATAATACCAAAGATAATGATTTAGACTATTCATAAACATCCTTACTGCAGTATTTGACAAAATACCAATGATGCTACATACCAGAATCAAGCAGGATCTGTACTGCCACGAGAATATCCTCGTCTATTAGCAAAGAATTACACAATTATTAAAATACAAATATTACTCAAAGCCATGCGTTTATCTTGTTCATGCCAGTTTTTAAGAGGACCGTACCTTAGTTTTTTCCAACGAACCACAATGATGACAGTGACAGTCACCAACACCGCAAAAGCACTTGCTCCAATCAGAACACCACTGCTCCAGTTAGGAAAACCCACTGGGAAA